GTGAGATTAGAACCTCTGAACTGCAGATAACAGTCAGCTGTAGTGGCCTTCAGTACTGCACCCTAACCACTGCGTCACCTCGGGGAATGCTGTGACCCAGTGGTGGGTTCTGGATCAGCATTGCCCACATGGACGCATGCGGCGCACATGTGCAAGATGCACGCATGCATCGTACCTGCCTGCAACGCCTCCGCAAGCCTCCGCAACGCTTCAGCTGCTCGGCGGAGCTTTGTGCAGGTGCTGTATGCACCATGCGCAGAAGTGCCAAAGGCTTAAAGGACAAGTTAGGAGCTCGGGCGGGCGAGCGGGCCCTCCGGAGCACCGTACCGGAATGGTACCCGGTGCTCCGGGCAGGCTCCGGTACGCCTGTACCGGAGCATACCGCCTGCAACCCACCACTGCTGTGGCCATTGTAATGTATTATGATATATAATGTATTACACCACTCATTCAGCACGGATGGGCCAACTTATTACGGGATAATTTGCAGCAGGACAACTCTCCGCAGGACAATTCAACAAATACAAAAGTTAAATTAATTGCAATTGAACCGTGACCAATAATAATAATAAAGTCAATCCAGACATACAAGAGTTATAATAATTTTGATGAAAATGCGATCACTAATAATTAAAAAAATTGAATCTAACTAATGCAGCATTGAATTGTCCCGTGGCCAGTTGGCCGCAGCAAGTTGGCCGTAATGAGGTAGCCATAGAGTTGTGCTAGATCCTGTTCAGCACCATTGTTGGTTTGGGCAGTTGCTGAAGGAATGTTCATTAAGCGAGGACCACCTATATATAAATCTCATCTATATGCCATGATAACTATTCTGCAAGGCCCACTTTTGTGGTGTACATCACTCATCCTCGCAACATTACCCATCTTCCCAGCACATTTTCAATAGCCTCTTAACAACATCCAGGTCATAAGGAATTACCAGATTTTACAAAAATCCATTCTGCTTTGTCTTATACTTCCTTGCATACTTCCTTGCATATGAAGATTTTTTTAAAAGAGGTACTTCTGCACAAACATGTAGTTTTTAGGCAATTAAAAAAGTCTGATAATAGCAGTAGCTTTAGACATCTACTGCTTCATAGGGCTTTACAGCCCTCTCTAAGCAGTTTACAGAATCAGCATATTGTCCCCAACAATCTGGCTCCTAAAATGAGTAGGACTTGATTCTGAATGAATATGGTTGTAGAAGCCACACTGTTCTCTGCGAGATGGCATTTTTGTGTAGCTGAAGTTTGATTAAGAAAGTTTGTAAAAGTTTATAAAAACAAAGAGATACAACAATTTTGTTTGTGTTTATCTCCCATCTAGATTTAAGAACTCTAGTTCAGGAGTAGCAAGATTTTGTCCATAGGAATCAGGGTGTTCCCAGATACTTCCCTTGCTATCCACCAGGTTTTACTGCCCTCACTTAATTTTTCCCCATAATTTATTTTTTATTTTATTTTATTTAGTTTGTCAAACATGGAAAAGATAACGAGTATAAGTATAACCATAAAAATGAATACAGTAAATGGGTACAAATAAATGGGGACAGTAGGACAGGGACAGTAGGTACACTGGTGTGCTTATGCATGCCCCTTACAGACCTCTTAGGAATGGGATGAGGTCAACAATAGACAGTCTTAGGTTAAAATTATGGGGGTTTGGAAATGCAACAACAGAGTCAGGTAGTGAATTCCAGGCATTGACCATTCTGTTATTGAAGTTGTATTTTCTGCACTCGAGTTTGGAGCAGTTTACCTTGAGTTTGTATCTATTGTTTGCTCATGTATTATGGTGGTTGAAGCTGAAGTAGTCATTGACAGGTAGGATGTTGCATTGTATTGTATTGGGATGCTTTGACTTATTGCAAACATCAACTTCTATCATCTTATTTATGTGCAGCAATATCTTTCATTACTGTAAAATTCCTAAAGGTACCATAGCAGCAGTCTGGAGGGCTAGCTCATCCTCCAATTAACACAATACCCCATATTTCTTAATAATTTACTTCATGGTAGTCATGTGGATGCACTGCCCATGTTATCTGCAAATTCCAAAGGTGCCTTCACCTCAGTTAGATTGCCTACAGAAGCTTTAGAAAATAAAGCACATTCATATTTGTATTAGCTTCTGGAACAATATTTGCAGTATGCAGCATATAGCAATAGCAATAGCAGTAGACTTATATACCGCTTCATAGGCCTTTCAGGCCTCTCTAAGCGGTTTACAGAGAGTCAGCATATTGCCCCCAACAATCTGGGTCCTCATTTTACCCACCTCGGAAGGATGGAAGGCTGAGTCAACCCTGAGCCAGTGAGATTTGAACCGCTGACCTGCTGATCTAGCAGTAGCCTGCAGTGCTGCTTTTAACCACTGCGCCACCTTGGCTCTTGGTGTTTCAGTTTTCATACTCATGTATTCATCAGCATATTCAAGAAACATGCAAAACCTTGAGATTACAAGATTATTACTTAGAAGTTTTCAGATTCTGTTACATGTATTAGAGTCAGATTCACTGCCTAAATCCCCCAGATTAGGATTTACAATACTAACGTGGTTTTTTTTTCATTTATATTTGACATACGGTAAGTCCTGATTGTGACCATATTTCTGTTGTTTAAAAATAAACTGAATCTTGTTGGAGATCTCTATAGGTTCTATCTGTCTTGCTACTGAATCCTGTTCTGTGTGGGAAACTCAAAGGAAAGCACAGTGATTTGGTTCAGATTTAAAGAAAAAAAGCAAAGTGACTTTTATCAAGTAGCTTTAAATAATTTTTATAAATAGCTTCGTTTGACTCTACAGGGTACCCATAATCAGTCAGTACTTAACTACTCTGGCAGTAAATACATTCTTAATCCTAGCTACCTGTCAGATAAGATTTTCACAGCTGCCCTTCCAACTTCACTCCTCAAATCCCTCCACTGCAGTTCTCACATCATTCAAGAATAGAAATCATGGTGAGGGTCCTTGTGTTGCCAAACTTAAGATCAATTCTCCATCCAATCGTCAATCTATTAAAGTTGATATACAGGTAGTTCCTGTACTTAGGGCCAGTTGCTTAGCAACTATTTGAAGTTACGACAGACCTCCCTTATAACTCAGATTCAAAGTTTTGATGTCTCCCCCCCCCATTGCAGTGACATGGCTGTACTTTTGATGCTTTGCAACTGGCCCACATTTCTGAATGTCTGCAGCATCCTGCGGCCACATGACTGCATTTTACAATGGTTTTGTCGAAAACAAGCCTTTTCTTCTAGTTTTCAGCAGTACCTGACTCATAGCAAACCATTGGTTGGCTTAATGACATCAGCATTCACATAATGAGTGCCACAAAAAAGATAATAAAATTGGGTCAGTCACATAGATGACCCAATTTATGATTGTCACAAGTTATGACTGCGATGGGCTTATGGTTGCAATTTGAGGACTATTTTTAATGCCATATCTCATTTGCTTCTTTCTCTCCAATCACGATATATCTATATCTTTCCCCCTCTCTTGTCTACTAGCGATAAACTATAGATAGATAGATAGATAGATAGATAGATAGATAGATAGATAGATAGATAGATAGATAGATAGATAAGTTAAAGGTAAAGTTTCCCCTCACACATATGTGCTAGTCATTCCCGACTCTAGGGGGCGGTGCTCATCTCTATTTCACAGCCAAAGAGCCAGGGCGGACCAAAGAGGTCTCCATGGTCATGTGGCCGGCATGACTAAATGCTGACTAACTTGCATTTTTACGTGCTTTCGAACTGCTAGGTTGGCAGAAGCTGGGACAAGTAACGGGAGTTCACTCCATTACGTGGCGCTAGGGATTCGAACTGCTGAACTGCCAACGTTTCTGATTGAGCGTCTTAGCCACTGAGATAGATAAACAGGCAGGCAGGCAGGCAGGCAGGCAGGCAGGCAGCAATAGCAACACAGACTCATATACTTCTTCATAGTGCTTTACAGCCCTCTCTAAGTGGTTTACAGAGTCAGTATATTCCCCCAACAATCTGTGTCCTCATTTTACCGACTTCAGAGGAATGGAAAGTTGAGTCAATCTTCAGGCAGTCAGAATCAAACTGCTGGCAATGGGCAGAGTCAGCCTGCAATATTGCATTCTAATTACAGTGTCACCATGGCTTCTAGATAGGCAGGCAGTGTTAGGGTTTGATGCTGGATTGAATCATATTACCAAGCCACTAGTTCTAAAATAAACAATACTTAACAGTTCATAGCTTACATACATGATAGTTTGTAAGTCATTGTGGCTTGAGTCACACAACATATGAATGCATATATATTCAGCAGTATGAATTAACGTGGTACATGAACCATTCTATTTTCTTCTTTCTTTCCTCAGTTTTATAAACGATAGTGCAGTGTATAAACAATAATATCATTCTCTTTAATTAAAGATCCATCACTAATGGATGAACCTTTCCAGTCTTTACTTTTATTTAGAAAATATAGTTTTTTAAAAAATCATTATTTTTATACCAAACATTGGATTTATTTTGCAAATGATTCTGCCTTGTTGGCTGCATTTGCCTGGATATGTGATATTGATACTTGAGGCAAAAATCTTGAGCCATAATATTTACTTGACCCATGTCTGTTTTGGCTGAATTTGACCAGCTGGAGGAAATTAGAATTCTGAATACCTCTCCTTGGCTCTTTCTAAGACATCTGTTGGGATATATATGGGAAAAAATTAATGGCATAATTAAATGTTGTTGAGAACATTGGTTTTCATGGCACATAATTGGAACTTTCGACTCTTAAGATTGGACTACCTTTACATTCATTTATTATGTAATTGTTGGTTGGGTTTTTTATTTCTAGAAAAGGAACTTTTTGGAAGGATAAATTATTCTTAAACTGTACGTGTAATGCATTTCTTATATTTAATCTATACCCCACATTGTATTGTCCACTATATAGATATCCTCAGCTGTTTGCAGCAGGAATGTTATCAGGGGTGTTTACCACTGCAATTATGGCACCAGGAGAAAGGATCAAGTGCCTACTACAGGTAAGAGGTGAAATTTTCCATGCTCCATCCCACAACTGAGCAACATCTTGCTATTCACATTATTTAGCTTTCTTTAGGATGAGCATATTCATAATTGTAATTTGGGGCTTCTTGAATGGGTAGAGCTACTAGAAGCCTGCTCTGGGTGCTTAAACAGCTAGAAAAACTTTTTGGGAGAGATGGCAGCTACGGGGTTTGTTTTTTATTTTCATTTTTTACCATTTTGGTGCATAATCAACAAACTCCGGATTGGATCTCATCTCATGTGGATTTCTTAGGAAAAGTTGAGATGCACAGACTCATTTCAAAAGTGGCTTAGATTTAGGAAGAGTGAGTTATTTAAGGAATGGTAGGTTATAATTGATGTGGCCATTTTTTTTTTTACCCAATTAGATCCAAGCAGCCGCCGGTGAAAAAAAATATGCGGGCCCCTTGGACTGTGCCAAACAAATATATCGTGAAGCTGGCATTCGAGGCGTGTACAAAGGAACAGCGCTCACACTCATGAGAGGTAGTTGTGGAGAATTGTTCTTAAAATAATTAAACTATAAAAGCCTCCCCCCCAATTTTTTTTTTAAACCCTGTTTACGTAGCACACTTGATAATTATAGAGTGGCGGTTAGCCTATCATACAAGTCTAATCCCTGCAGAGTTAGCTGGCTGAATTAAATCAGATTTTGAATCCAAGATCTAAATTCATTCACCCAGTGAACTCTGCAGGAATTTGATTTAGCCCCAAATACAGTGGTGGGATTCAAATTTTTTTTACTACTGGTTCTGTGGGCGTGGCTTTGTGGGCGTGGCAAGGATACTGCAAAATTCCCATTCCCTCCCCACTCTCAAAATTTCCACTACTGGTTCTCCAGAACTTGTCAGAACTGGCGGAATTGAAATACACCCAATCCCATTTTTTAATTTTTTTTAAAATTATAAACACTTATACACACTGACAAAAACATACACAACACTTACAAATAACATCGGGACTACATGTTCCTTCTTACAGCAGATATCCATTGGTGCATCTATACAAACACAATTTCCCTCTCAATACATTCTAATTTAACACTTATAATCCTATTATTTCTTACTCTTTTGCTTATCAGTCTATGTTTGGTTATTTGTATCGGACAGTCTTTGCTGTTCTTCTAGCCAATCCCATGTTTCTATAAGGTCCCTTTTCTACTGCCATTCTGACAAACTATAGACACATGGGGAGAAGGGTAAAAAATGAACAAAAGTGGGAAGTAGGAAAATAGGGCCCTTCAGACTGTCCATGGGGAGGTTGCTTGTGACCATGCCACCACATTTGTACAGGTAGTCCTCGATTTATAACCATCCATTTAGTGACTGCTTGAAGTTGCAGCGGCGCTGAAAAAGTGACACATGACCAGTTTTCATACTTATAACCATGGTCACATGATCAAAATTTGGGTGCTTGGCAACTGGCATGTATTTATGACAGTTGTACTGTCCTGGGATCATGTGATCACAATTTGTAACTTTCCCAGCTGGCTTCTGACAAGCAAAGTCAATGGAGCAAGCTAGATTCGCTTAATGACTGCATGATTCGCTTACCAACTGCAGTCACTTGCTGAACAACTGGCAAAAAAGATTATGAAATGGGGCAATACTGGCTTGACAACTGCCTTGCTTAGCAACTTAAATTTTAGGCTCAGTTGTCATAAGTAAGGACTACCTGTATTTTCTTTCTTTAAAAAATTGCTCCCCTCAAAGAAACTGAGGCCTCCTTTTCACTAGCTACAAGGATGAAGATGATAATCGGTACATTAAAGAGTCCAATGTGGCTAACCTTTATGTCCAGCCAGCTAACTGTGAGAGGAAATGACAGAAATATTTCTGTTGTGTGAACAATGCTGCTGTATATTATCACAATGTTTATTTACAGTATTAAAAAAAAAAAGATTGTTGAATTCACACACGATGACTCCTGGTGGCTTACAACGTTAAAAATATGTAGTATAAAATTCCTAACCCTTTCCCAGCCACATGATCGGCTCCGTATCAGTTTGGGTTTTCTAGGTCTGTTTGACAGAACCATACCTTCAGAGCCTTCTGGAAAAGTATCAGGTTGGGAGTCAAATGTATCTCTCGGGGAGGGGGCTGATATTGTGTAGAGAGGGAGCCACCAAAGAGAAGGCCCTTTTTCTCCATTTCGCTCCATCTTTCTCTAATTGGGTAGATGTAACTGGGAAGAGACAATCCTTCAAATCTTGTTTTCTCTGTCAATCAACTCAAGGGCTAAAGCAGCAAGTGGAGTGCATTGTTTATGCCATTATTATAATTCTACGTATAGAAAGCTGGCAGTTTTTATCCTTTTTGTCCTTGCCAATGTGGGCAGTTGTGTCTCTCATTTTTCTAAGTTGGCTTTGTTTATTGGACCAGATGTTCCAGCCAGTGGAATGTACTTCATGACTTATGAATGGCTGAAAAATATTTTGACACCTCAGGGGCAGAGGTAAGGAGAATGCTGGATTTCTCACAAAAACAACTAAGGAATTCTTTTTATTCTGAAATAAGAGCTTCATAATAATAGTTTGATGAGATAAATGATTATTTCTTTGAGTTGCTAGACACTGAAATGGGCGGCATATAAATTTAAGACATAAATAGTGAATAATATAATTTGACATTTATAAAATATGTTTTAGGGATCAAGTCAGTGCATCTTATAAGGAAAGCTAATGGAATCATCAGCATAATCTACCATGAACCATAATGTAGCATATATGGCAAAACTGCTGGATTTCTATATTGCAATAAGCCATGGGTTTGATTAAATATAATTTGTTGAATAAACCACTGTTAGCTATATTTCAGTACTTTTGTGCCAAACATTAGGCTTTAACTTGGAGATTATATGAATCTACATGCAGTTAGAAACTTTTATTCTAACAACAAATTGCAAAGGGACATTTTCTTCTTTTAGCACAGTACAGTTTGAAGGATATCAACGTGCTTCTTGTTTGATTTAGATTGGCTAATTCTGGCTATATAAGTCAGTTGTACTATAAATTAAGCTTGATGTGCCAGTAGTTGTAGCAATAACTTTTTTCTACAGAGATCTTTCGCTTGGGCAAATACAGGTATTCCTCTACTTAGGACAAAATTTCTCTTACTAAGCCAGACAGTTGTTAAGTGAGCTTTGCCCCATTTTACCATGTTTCTTGTCACAGTTGTTAAGTGAATCCCTGCATTTGTTAAATTAGTAATACGGCTGTTAAGTGAACCTAGCTTTCCCATTGGTTTTGCTTATCAGAAGGTCGCAAAAGGGGTTCAGATGACCCCAGGACATTGCAACCGTCATAAATACATGCCAGTTGCCAAGCATCTGAATTTTGATCATGTGACCATTGGGATACTGTAAAGATCATAAGTGTGAAAAATGGTCATGTCGCTTTTTTGAGTGCCGTGGATACTTCGAACGGTCACTAAATGAACTGTTGTTGCAATTTGAGGACTACCTGTACAGCCCATTTTGAAGTAAAACTGCTGATTTCCCCTGAAGGAAGTCCTTACTGTATAACTTTCGCCCCCCACCCTGTGAGTCTGAATGAGATGCACCCAATCTTTCTCTTCTATTTCATGGGTGTCAAACTCGCAGCGTCACCTTGTCCTCACGTGACATTTTGTGACTTTTTTCCCATCCGCAGAGCTGGCGTGGGCGTGACCTGCGCGTGACATGTCTGTCCCATTGGGCCGCCAGTTTGACACCCCTATTCTATTTCTTTTTAGTAGCCATTTTGATGAATTCATGCTTGCCTTTTTCTGCCCGTCTCCTGCTTTCCATAGTGTCAGTGACCTCAGTGTACCCAGAATCCTCTTTGCTGGAGGCATGGCAGGGATCTTCAACTGGGCTGTAGGAATCCCTCCTGATGTGCTGAAGTCACGATTCCAGACAGGTGAGTTCACTGATGCTCTCCTAAAGTTTATAGAAGGCAGATTTAAAAGTACCGTAGGATTTGTGGAGAAAAGTTTTCAGTGGGTTTGTATACAAGTAGTCCTCCTTTAGCAATCGCCTTGTTTAGCAACCATTCTCAGTTATCAACATAAGAGCCATGGTGGCACAGTGGTTAAGAGTGCAGCACTGCAGACTACTTCTGCTGACTGCTGGCTGCCTGCAATTTGGCAGTTTGAATCTTACCAGGCTCAAGGTTAACTCAGCCGTCCATCCTTCCGAGGTGGGTAAAATGAGGATCCAGATTGTTGGGAGAAATAGGCTGACTTTGTAAACCGCTTAGAGAGGGGCTGTAACGCATTGTAAAGCAATGTAGAAGTCTAAGTGCTATTGCTATTGCTACCACAGTGATGATGAATCCTTGCATTTATGACCTTTGCACCTCTGCAATGTAAAGGGAAGCTGAAGTAAGACAGCACAGTACAATCGTGGTTTCACTTAGCAACTGCTCTGCTTAATGACCTCCAAGTCCCAACTGTTGTTGTTAAATGAGGACTAGTTGTCAAAGGTGTTCAGAGCAGATCTTACTCCAAATATGTAATCCTTTTCTATTAAATCAGGCGAAAATAATTGAACTAGAACAATGTTCAAGCATCTTCTTTGCCTGCTATTTTATATATATATATTGAAGTGTTGCTGGGGCTCTGTGAGCTTGCTTGTTTTCTTGCAAATGTCTGCAAGAAAACAAGCAAGCTCAGAGAGCACCAAGCTCCTTTATATTTAGAGTTATATAGAGGATTAATATCAACAATTCTCCTCCTTAGTCTCTCCATTTTCTGAACTGCGTTGTCATCCGATTGTATTCCCATGAGAATGCACAGTTGAAGATTAGATCTTTTAGCATACATTTGCTCATACTATTTCCTGAAACTCTTCTGAAAATCATTCCTGGGCAACAGTCCATGACAGTCTCTGGTTTAATCTGGTGAGGTATTTGCATTTTCTTAGGTGTGTTGGGTAAATCTAATAGTGCAGAACACATTCTCATTGTTCTGTTCCATTCCCGCCTCTCTTCTAATTGCTAGCTTTAATGTGTATAATTCTGGTCACCATGGAAATTGGAGTAGAAGGAGAGTACAGTACAGTCCTTGTTAGCGATCGTCTCAGTTAGTATCCATTTGCTGTTACAATAGTGATTAAAATATATTTATGACCAGTCCTTGCATTTTAGGACATTTACACACCCGTAAAGGAAAGGAAAGCCAAAGTAAAACCGTGAGCACAGTTGTGGTTTCACTTAGCAACCATTTCACTTACCAATTGTGGTCGCTAAAGGAGAACTACCTGCAATCCCATCTTGCATCATACATTAATCCTTTTCCAAAGCAGATATGAAGCTGGTTCTTGCAGTTGGGTTAAAGATTGAAAAATCACACTTTGCTTAGCTATGGTGAATATAGTTGCCTTCAGGCAAAGAATTTGAAAGTTCTATAAACTAGTATGAATTGCCG